CATTGGCGTTTGCGGTGTTCATGAGTTTTAACATTTTCAACACCTTCCCCTCATTGCCACTGTGCTCTGTACTGGCCAGGGAGAGGGCTAGGAGGAGGAGTAAGGAGAGCTGCCCAGGTCGGATCATGGTCCTTCGGTCAGGAGGCACTGGTCTGCGCCCCGTCTCGGGTGGAGCTGGCGGAGGTGGGGTGGTCACTGCTGCTGCTGCTGCAGGATGCAGAGGGCTCACCACACTGGCTGCCTGCTCTCTGTGTTGGTTCAGCTGGATCCTAGGCAGAGCCAAAGGGTCGGCCTCCCTGGCCACCTCCCTCCTGCAGGGACACCCTCCCCTGTCTGCCTTCCCCTCTCTTGTGCCCTTGACTGCACCTGCTCCCATGGGGTTTCCTGGCTCCTTCTTTCTCCTGCACCCCACCTCCCCACCCACACACACACACAGGAGAAGCTGGGCTGTGAATTGGCCAGGCCAGCCTGCGCTCACCTGAAGCTCCAACACTTCCAGTTCGTGCCTGAGCTCTGTGGGTTCTGATGTCTAGTCTTGTCTGAACCTTCAGAGATCCTGCCTGCAGGGAGGCCAAACTTTGTGATGTAACCCAGTACCTACGACCCTGAGGGTGGGCATCTCTCACCAGCTGGCCTCTGGCCCTAGGCTGCCAGCCATGCTGAGAGCAAACCCCATAGGAAGCACCCACCTCCAACTACCCTGCTCTGCCCTCTGGGTTTTCTGCTCACGGGTGCCAGGAGCCCCAACTTCTAGAATGCCTGACCCTGAACTCCCTCAGCTCGGACCCAGGCAGGGGTCAGCCAGGCCACCTTAAAGCCTGGATCTGAGCCCTAGAGGGAAGATGGACATGCACCCCTTCACGTCTCAGAGGTTCTGCTTTTCAATGAAATATCCAGCCTCATTCAGCAAGTTCCCCGAGAGGCAGACATGGCGAACTCTCAGCCCCCATAAAGGGAAACGTCAACGCATTCACAGAAATGGCTACTGTGGGAAAAGCCATGCGTGCCATACCTCAACTGAGACTGCAGGAGAGTGTCCTCTCTCAACAATCCCTCCTTCTCAGTCAAGTGGCGTTTTGCAAACCACACAATGGCCTAACGGCTAAAGTCCTTGCCTTGAATGCACTGGAATCCCATATGGGCGTTGGTTCTAGTCCCAGCAGCTCCACTTCCCATCCAGCTCCCTGTCTGTGGCCTGGGAAAGCAGTTGAGGATGGCCCAAAGCCTTGAGACCCTGCACCCACATGGGAGATCTGGAAGAAACTGCTAACTCCTGGTTTTGGATCAGCTCAGCTCCGGTCATTACTATCTCTTGCGGAGCGAACCAGCAGATGGAAGATCTTTCTGTCCTCCCTGCAATTTGCCTTTGCAATAAAAATAAATCCTTTTTGAAAATGAGACCCATAGCAAGCAAGCATGTGTGCTATAAACACTTCCAATATGCCTGAGGTCTATTAATGCGCATGAGGACTTTGGAGATGGGTACTGCATCCCAGTGGGGTGGGAGTCCAAGAACAATATTGGAGGAGGTGGTTCCATGAGAAATAGACATGCAAATCCCCAAACTGCACTGGTAGAGTGTGGGGTAAGAGATCCATAGACAATGTTTATTAGGTCCATGGACAATATGAACAACTGATGTGAGGGCCGAAAGCTAATGTTCAATTTCATGAACAAGGGATGTGAGTTCCCGGAGCAATGACAACAGAACCCAAGAGTTCAGAAGACCATGAGTGACATTAGCAGGGTCTATGGACAGTGTGCACTGGGCCATGAGCAGCAGGAAGTAGCTGAACAATGGTCATGAGGCCTATGCTAGTGGGCCTGGGACCCAAGAGAAATGGCATAGGGTCCACGAATGAGCAATCAGTAGGCCCAAGGGCTGTGAAAACATTTATGGCATCTAACAAGCATGGGATGGGATCAATGAACAGCATCCATGGAACCATAAAAATTCAGCCTAGGTTCCATTAAAAATGAGAGTGTTGGGGTTGGCACGATGGCTCAATTGACTAATCCTCTAGACGCAAGCACCGGCATCCCATATGGCCTCCAGTTTGTATCCTGGCGGCTCCATTTTCCCCCACTAGCTTTCTGCTTACTTCCCCTCCTTTCTGGGAAAACAGTGGAGCATGGCCTAAAGCCATGAAACCCTGAATCCCCGTATGAGACCTGGAAGAAGTTCCTGGCTCCTGATCGGTTCAGCTCTAGCCTTTGTCACCATTTGGGGAATAAAACAAGCAGATGGAACATCATCCTGTCTCTCCTTCTTCCTAAAGATCTTTCCAATAAAAATAAATAAAATATTTTTTTAAATGGGAATGTCATTCATGAACAACGGGCAAGGACTAAATAAAAATAGACATGTGACCGACATAAAGAGTAGAAAGGTGGGACTATTTCTCTTTCATTTCTAAGTGGCTGTGCCCTCGTGATTCTCATTGTTAATATGGCTGAGGGGTGGTTTTGCTCATCTTCTTACAGAATGGCCCTTTCTTGTTTCATTCTGCAGTTTTTTGGTTTCAAATGCAGTTATTTTTGCTGTGAATTTTATCTTTTCATGCCCGCTATTCACTTGTATCTTTTCTAATAAGTCCTTGTCATTCATTAATTGATCATCCATAAGAGACATTCTAATTGCTTGTAAGCCTATGAGGTTGTAAATGTCCCTTTCAAAAATGTTTTTGCTACATCTCATGGGTAATGTTGTCCTAGCTTTTATTATAACTTCTTCAGCACCATCGCAATGTCTTCAGGGTCATGCATTAGCATCAATTTCTACAAGAAGATTTTTTTATTTTTCATCACTCTAGTGACACATTGATATTTTTGTAGCATGTTCCTTAACTTTCATGTTGATGAAAATTTACTGTTCTCCCTGCTGTGGGCTGTGTTTATTGGCTCTGTATTTTTTTTTAAAGAATTTTGTATTATATTTTTGACAATCTTTACATTGTTAATTAGGGTTAAAAAGTTTAAGGATTATAGCAAAGTGGGTAAGACTATTATTTCCATATTGTTTCCTTCATGTTTAAAGGGGGATATTAAGGGAGAAGGCCCACCCAATTTCCCACCCTCCCCAGGTCCCAGATGTAGGGGGTGCTCCGAGGTTCTTGCCCAAGTGGTTCTGATAATTCACCAGTTAGGAATCGCTGCCATTCTTGCCACTCCAAGCACGATGAGGTCTTTGAAGAATCCACTGATTGACATAGTCTGTATAACAGAAGTGTAGCAGACACTGACATGTCCAGATGTGGAGACATAGTGCAGTATGCCTCTCTGCATCCAGACCAAAGGTGGACTCCCAGTGAAACTGTTGAATATATCCTGATGGTAGGAAGCTGGACTCTCTGACATTGCCCATGCCTACTACGTCAGGAAACACTTCAGTATAAGTTCAGATGGACTTATGACTATTTATGAAGGACCACCCATTTAATACTAGAGAGGAAATCAGAGAGTGGGGAGGGGACTTGGAAAAGAGAAGGGGAAATCCCAGAGCCTATGGAACTGTATCATAAAATAATAATAATAATAAAAGAAGAAAATAGACATGTGGTTCATGAATATGGACATGAGGTATGTGAATACACAAATAATGAGAATAAAGTTTATTAAAATGATCCAAAAACCCTTTGAAAATAGACAACTGGTATGTGGCCGAGGGCAGCACATGGGGACCATGAAGAAGAGTCCTAGAGCCCCAATCAGGCATGGGATTCTTGGTCAGTAGATACGGGTTCTTGTCAAGCCACTTGTAAGTTGCAAGTCAGCTTTGCTGGGCACACAGACCCACCTTGGCCACACAGACTGCTATTCAGTGTTGAACAGCACCACAAATCATACACACAGGCCAGCCAGTGCATCAAAACATTCAGGCCACCATGTCTTTGCTGTGTCCCTGCCACCAGTCACAGTTGCTTTTGAAAATCCTGTCCCATCAGGGAGGCAACAGATTCTGGGGTTTGGGCCAAGGAAGGGCAGCACTCTGCCCAAACCCAGTCTTACGGAAAACCCTCAGAAACCCAAGAGGAGGAGGGTGGACGCTTGCCTTCCCATCCCCAAGTATCCACCAGAGGGCACTGCCACTTCCTGTCTGTCTCACTGGAGCCCACCTCTCACCCAATCTCTGTCTTGCCAAGATGTGCCTACTTCTCCACCAGCACCCTGGCAGAGGGATGGACCACCAAGATGTCTCTCCCCAGGGCAGTTGGTGGTGCTGACAGCCAGAACCCAGGTAGGCGGTCAATATCTAGGCACTGCAGCTGGCATCTTCTGAGCTGCCATCCAGCCAAGCAGAATCCATCCTTGGCAATCAGGCAGGCTGCGAGGAGAGAGCTCCTCTTCTGCAGGAGTGGCCCGTAGGTACTGTGTATGGAGCCTGGTTCCCAGATGGAAGCAAAATGCTGGCAGGAAACTTCTCCTGGCAAAGCTTACATTCCTTTGAGTAGAACTGACCAGGAGCATAGACAACATGGAGAATGAATGCATGAACAAGGGACAGAATGTAAGGATAAATGAATACACCTGACAGCTGGTGGGGCATCTACCTGAACCACCTCCCAGGACTGGAGAGATTAAATCACTCAACACGCTGTACTGACGCCAACTAGTGACCGTGACCTCTGCAACAAAGTGCTGCAGGATAATGTAGAACTACTGAGGGATTGGGCTGGTGTTGCGCTGTAGTAAGCTAAACTTCTACCTGGAACATCAGCATTCCATATGGGAGCTGGCTTGAGTCCCAGCTGCTCCAATTCCAATCCAGCTCCCAGTCTATGGCCTGAAAAATAGCAGACGGTAGGTTAATTCCCTGGGCCCATCACCTTTGTGGGAAACCTGGAAGAACCTCCTGGCTATGACTTCCGATTGGTCCAGCTCCAGCCATTGCAGCTGCTCGGAGAGTCAACCGACAGATGGAAGGTCTCTCCTTTATCTCTACCTCTGCCTTTCAAACAAAAACAAAACAATTTCAAAAGCTACCCAAGGACACAGAATGCATGCCAGTTGCGTTTAATTCTGCAGGAGATGCACACACATTGAGCTGCTGATTGTCACACTCTAGAAGGAACAGGATTGCTGCTAGGAGAAGCCACAGGCACCCCCCTTTCCGATGTCAGCACGCAGCTGCTATCCAAGATGGTGAACTGGGTAAACCACACCAGCGAAGTCAGGATGTAAGTGCAGCGCACCTAAAAGGAGATCATTGCAGTACAATGGGCATGGCGCTCATGTGACATGTGGTAGGGCCTCAAGATGCAATACAGACAGAAGGAAGCAAGGAGGGAGGAGGGCAAGGAGGCAGGAAAGTAACACAGCCATACCTGGGGGCAGGATTTGGAAAGCCCAAGGCTCCAGCAGGAGAATGGGCAGAGCAGCTGATCCCACCACTTGAGACAGCAACTGCCTGAGGCCATCACCCACCCCAGGAAACCCCATCCACCCACACCACCCTGATGTCCCAAGCACTACAGACACGGCACCCCCTCTCCCTGCCCCACTGTGTATTCTGAGGCCAGATCACTGCCTGAGCCCTGCCCCTACTTGGCACCACCCAACTGAGCAGCAGCACAAACACTCAGGCTGTACGTTGAGAGGCCAGAGCGGTCCCACGCTCCTCCATCCCACGGGTCCCATAATACCTCCAGGGTCGGGGCACAGGCTCGTGGCCCAGGGACTGGAAGGACAATGTGGCCATTCTTCAGCCCACAGGACATATGTGAAAGCATGAGGACCACAGGAAGAACATGCCCCCCCAAACCTTCAAGGGTCTCAGAAAGGCATGGAGCTGGAACCAGGAGGGAGGCTCGGTGCAGACATAGTGGGTATGTGGTCAGCCAGCTGGGCTAGGAGCAGGGGCCTCAGACCTGGTGTTGGTGGACAGGCTGTGTCTCAGTGGGATCACTGGCTCCTGACTCCAGTGTGGAACAGGGATCCTGATTCCTCCGCCTGCCCCAAGGCTGTGTTGAGCCTCCTCCAAGACCCTTCATTCTCCCAAGATGCACTGTGATTGTGGTCTCCAACCTGTTTCTCTCCCGCACCCTCCTGCAATGGGCAATTGTCGATGTCTTCATCGTGCTTTTTGCAAATTGTGCGGCCCATCTCCACGTCTACCAAACAGGTCCAGGAAAACATCTGTTGAAAGAAATAGTCGAAACTGCTAGTAAATAACCTGTCAGAGGAGGCGGAACAACAGAAACAAGGGTGTGACTGTGCAACAACCGACCAGTGCCACCACTCGGCCTGCGACTTACTCCATCTTTGCTTTTCTTTCTCCATTTCTCTTCATAAGCGTGTCCCTCGTACAGTGTCTGTTGGCCTCTGGAAGATAGGGTCCCATTTGGGCATCCTGCCCTGGGCCCCAGCCACACCTACCACAGATGACTCTCCAAGGCACACCTTGGCACAGCCTGCTTCTCACACCAGCTAGGAAGGGCCGGGACCACAAAGCCTGAGGCCGGAGGCCAGAGCTGCCCGGAGCAAGAGTGCCTTGGGCAGTGTGTCTTTTGGCATGGAAGCCGACATCACGCGAATGTTTTGTGGGGTGAATACTCAGTGTCCCATGCCACCCTAGGTCTTTATTGGGCTCCTTTGGATAGTTATCGGAGATTCTTTTCATTCCTGGGGAGAAACATGGTAAAGACCCAAGAAGCACTAAGAGAGGAAAGATAGAAGCGTGGCAGGAAGCTCTCCCAGAGAGGGGCCCACACCCCCCGAACTGGAAGCTGGCTAGAAGCTGACCTCCGCCAGGGCTCAACAGGCAGAGGACACCCGTCATGGCCCTGTGACACTCACACACACATGTGCATCTCAGGACACACAGAACACACACAGAACACACGCCTGACACCAACACACAGCACACTCACACATTCCTTCTTGACACTCACCCTGGCTTACCCCCCGTACACCGTCCCCCACACTCAGCCAGGCCTGGAGTGTCCCTCTGTTAGGTCAGATCCTTTTGGCTCAGTAAGGTCACTGGTGCCCAGGGGTACTGCAGCCCCCAGGGCCAGATCTGGGTGCAGATCGCATCGGGGATGGAGGGGAGCCCTGGGAGGGCTGTGTCTCCGTGTAAGGAGGAGGATCCTCAGGACTGGGTGCACATGTCACATCTTCTTCCCAGCCCCCAGAGTGCCCACTTGGCCCTTCCTCCTGCAAGGCCCTCTCACCTGGACCTGGGCACGGCTGGATGATCATCATTGCTGTATTCATGACAACAGTCAGCCATGACCGCCGAGACCGGGAAACTTCGCATAGCGGAGGACAAGGACACCACATTTTACATGAGGCAAAAGCTCCTCGTCACCCCGAAAGGACTCTCAGGTGGCCTGGGTCCACCTCGGAGGTGTGTCAGATGCATTTCACTTCCCTCTGCCCCTCCTCTGGACCTGTCCACCAGTTGGCAGATAGAGTCCCTTGGCCGCTGTGCTCAGAGGAAGACCTGGAGCTGCTCTCTCACCGGCTCCCCAGCACCCCCAACCCTGCCCCCGTGTCCACCTGCCAGCAGCCTGGCTGTGCAGGCCACTGCATGTTCCATGAGCGGCCACAGAGGCGCTGGCTCCAGCACATGCCACCCCCCCCCCCACGAGGGTACTAACCCCTCCCCTCCCCCTGCACCCCTGCCTCTGAACACCACCCCCCTAGAGGCCCAGCTCGCTCTGCACCCAGCGCTTCTCAGTTCAGAGACATTGACTCCCCAGTCAGAGCAAGCCCTTCAGAGAGGGACTTCTCCCTGCTCGGCATCCCCAATCCGCAGCTTTGGGCCTTCCTGCCCCGCCCCCAACCCCAGTCCTCACATCCCTCCCCTGACGGCACCTGCGTCCCTCCCACACGCTCCTCCGCTCCTCCGAGGACGAGGGCTTGGCCTCTCTCTTGCTGCCTTTGCGCAGCGTGCGAAACCGGCGACAAGAAGTCCCTGTGGGCCTTCACTGACTCTTCCTGCCTGACATCTCAGCGGGATCTCTGGTGTCTCCAGGGCCCAGCCCTACCGAGGAGCAGTCCCAACAAGGGTATCCTACACCCCGCCCCGCCCCGCCCCGCCCCGGCACCTGCGAGCATGCTCTGTGCTGGGGTGCTGTTCTCCCAGGGCTGCTGCTCCTCTCTCTTTCTTTGTCTCTCTCTCTCTCTCCATCTCTCCATCTCCCCTCCCCCCCCACACACACCCCAAGACTGTTTCCCAGAGTGCTATTCCAGTGTCTCTGTACCTCTCTGTATTCCTCCAGCACTTGATAAAGGAACAAAACCAAAAGTTGGAGCTCTCCCAGTCAGTACCTCTATTTAAAAAAAAAAAATTTTTTTTAAATCTATCTCTAGGCCTTAAAGGCAGCTGCTGATTCCTGAAGATGCTCACCTGGGCTCAGGGATGCTGTGGGAGCTGAGTGGGGTAGGGTGGGGACAGCTCAGCCACTCACCTTGCGCTGGCTCTGCCGAACCTTCAGAAACTTGTAGGCAAACTCATCCTCCTGGGCCTCGTTGAACTTGTACATGACATACTCCATGGAGATGGCAAAGAACTCCGAGTTCTTGTCAATGTCCACGAACTTGGAGTTGTCCATGAACTTGAAGCTGCCCACAAGGCTCCCCATGAGAACAAACCCCACAAACAGGAGTGCCTTGTGCGGCATAGCTGCCCTTGGGGCAGGGGACATGTGGGATAAAGGGGACAGTAGCACCCTTGGCAGCTGCAGCCCTGCACAGTTCTGTCTGCTGATGCCCTGAGCTGCTGACCGCCACCCCAGGGCCGACACCTCCATCCAACACCTTGTCTCCACCCTCCTCCACAACACGTGGTCCTCTCACAGCCAGACAGAAACAAAGCAGCCAGTCACATTTGCCAGCCCTTGCTCCCATGAAGCTTGCAGGCACACACTCAAGGACAAGGCTGCCTCCTCCAGTCCTGGCCCTGCCCTAGGAGGGGCGGGGACTCACCCTCCCAGCCCCACATCCCAGGCCAGGCAGAGTTACAGCAGCCACAGGCTCATGCATAACCACAGAACCAGAGTCTCCGGCAGGGAGTACAAACAAGGTCAGCCATGACCTTGGCATCCCATGTCACAAGCAAGCTTTAGAAGAGCGAACAGTGAGGGCCAATGTCCGTGGCAGGAGACAGATACTCCACTGTCAGCAGTACCTGCTGGCTGACTTGCTCTTTTGCTCTCGGGCCCTGCGGGCTGGGGCTGGCCATGTGTGTCCTCGGTGGGAACCAAGCCATTTCTAACGTTCCAGGGTGAGACTTCCTGCTGCAAGGTCACCATAGCTCTGCTGAGATGGAGGAGAATAGCTGTGGGCTTGCGAAGGCATCAGGGCTAGGGAAAGAGAGCTAGCTGAAACTTGCATTGCCTCGCAGCTCTGCCCTGCTACAATGCTGGGTATCCACTGTCAGACTCTTCCTCTTTCCCAGGAAAGCCACTGGGAAGTGAAGAAGGTGATGGGGGTGAACAGGCTGGGAAAGAGTGAAGGTTGGAGTCAGCATGGTGTGTAGAAGTAGGCTAATCCTCCGCCTACAGTGTCAACACACCATATGGGCCTGGTTCCTGTCCCGGCTGCTACACTTCTGATCCAGCTCCCTGCTAATGCACCTGAGAGGGCAGTAAAGGGCGGCCCAAATCTTGGGCCCCTGCACCCACAAGGGTGACCAGAGGAAGCTCGTGGCTCCCAGCTTAACCAGCCATCTTTTGGCCTTGATATCTCTTTGGGGAATGAACCAGCAGATGGAAGATTCTCACTCTCTCTCTCTCTCCTTCCTTCCCTTCTTCCCTCCCTGTACCTTATCTCTCTGTAATTCTGCCTTTCAAATAAAAAAAGTTTAAGGGGGAAAAAAAAGAGGGCAGGCTATAGCTATGTGGATGCAGGGAATAATTATTGTCCCTTGGTATAAGGGGTGTCAGGCCCTGGCAAACCCAGTGACCCCCAGTAAAGGTCTTATCCTGGGAAGAGCCAGCACTGGGGCCGACACAGCAGAGACGGGAGTGTGGACAGAGGGAGGGACATAACTTGGAGTGCCTTGCTGGGACTTCTCTGAGGGGAAGGATGATCTGGTATGGTTGCACTGATGCAACATGGGCAGCTAACAGTGCTGGGAAGGACTGGAGAAAGCCGTGGGACCCTGCCAGGCTGGTGCATGCTTTAGGAAGCACCCTCCGCCTGCCCAGGGCAAGGCTCACCATTAGGAATGTCTCTCTCATCTCCCCGAGGCATGGATGAATGTGCAATGACGCCAGCATGGGTCCAGCTGCTTCCACAGCAGATGTAGAAGTTTCTAGAAAAGAGTTAGTCATCCTACATAACAGTTCAGACATGAAGAGTCCCACTTGATGCTCTGTTTCCCCTCTTGTCTTTCCCGCATCTGTGTCATAATCCTGTCAGCTCTGAGAGTCACAGGCAACACTTTGATTCTTCAGAAGGACCCTGGGGTGGTCCCTTTCCATTCTGTCCGTCAGCAGCTCCTGTCAATACAGGACCTCAGAGGTCCTCTTGGTATGACGGAACAGCTGCATACATGCTATCACAGAGATTCCAGCTTCCGGTGAGGACCAGGGATCCTGAGCCCTCTGCCTGCCCCGAGGTTCCACCGAGCATCTGCCCAAGGCCTTTCATTCTCCCAAGATGCACCGTGCCACTCTCAGGCTGATCATTTCCCCCAACCCTTGTTTTTCTTGCACACTTGGCAGCAGATAGCTGTCGATGTCTCCGTCGCACTTCCTGTCAATCATGAGGCGCAGCCCCAGCTCCATCAGAAATATGGCTATGCACATGTGTCAAGAAGAACGGATGCAGACAGCTGGTGAACATCTGCAACTCAGGATTGAGGAGAGAGGCAGAGCGCCAGGGGGACGGTGGGTTACAGAGTGCAACATGCCTGTGCTGAGACACAGTTCACACCAGGTGCAAACTGTGATGGGTCAACAGCTCCATGTCCTTGCGTGCGCTTCAAACCCCAGTGGAGCCTTCCCAATGGCTGAGGCCAACGTCACAAGATGGGGCAAGGAATAGATGTGCTGTTGGTTGCACATCTGCATCACAGCGAGGCACCTGCACGGGCTCCCAGCACCTGCTGATGAGAGCACTCCATGTGTCCACCTTGCAGCACCAGCCAGACACAAGAGGCACCTGCAGGATCAAGGAGAGGGTAGGACTAAGCCTCAGACTGGAGGTGAGAGCTGTGGTCTCCCTTGGGGAGCCTGTGCAGGGCCTGGGGTGCGCAGTGCCAGCTGGCCCACATTCACGGAGTGGCAGCCATGAGCATTCCCTACTGCTGCCCACGTTTGTCGTGCATCTCTAAGAAAGCTGAGGGAAGTAGGTCGGCTTCCAGAATGAGGACCTTCTGATCCAGCCCTGGATCCTCGTGCAGGTGGGGAGGGGGCGCAGACCTAACACGAAACTGTTTGGGAAAAGGGTCGGCACCATGGTGTGACAAGTGCATAGGCACTGGTTCAAGTCCCACTACTCCCTTCCAATTCAGCTCCCTGCTAATCTGTCTGGGAAAGCCTGGAGGACAGCCCACATGCGCCCCCATGGGAGACCCAGGAGAAGCTGCTGACTCCTGGCTTCAGTCTGGCCCAGCTATGGCCATGGAGGACATTTGGGGAGTAACCAGTGGATGGGAGAGTCTCTCTCTCTCTCTCTCTCTCTCTGTATATCCCCTTCTATATGCAAATCTGCCTTAACATACACACAAACACACACAAATATATTTTTTAATTGTTTGGGCCCTGGAGCAGTAGATTAGCGACTAATGTTATTGCCTTGCATGCACCAGGATGCAATACTGCACTGGTTCATATCCCAGCTGCCCCGCATCCCATCCGGCTCCCTGCTTGTGGCCTGGGAAAGCAGTCAAGGATGGCCCAAGGCCTTGGAACCCTGCACCTGCGTGGGAGCCCTGGAGGAAGTTCCTGGCTTCAGATCTACTCAGCTCTGGCCATTGCAGCCACTTGGGGAGAAATAAGTGGGTGGGAGATCTTCCTCTTGGTCTCTCCTCCTTTCTGTATGTCTGACTTTCCAATAAAAATACATACATCTTTTTTAAAAATTGCCTGGAAGGCTGACTGTGTGGCACTGAGCGTCTAACCACAGGACACTAATACCCACTCATGCCTGACACACACTCACCCATGGCTGCCTGACACGTGCCAGCACACTCCCACGCTCAGGCTTGACACACCTGACACCACATTTGCACACTCACATGAGACAGCTCACACAGCCATGCACTTGTGCCACACACTCACGCACACACATACACACACACATGCACAGCTGGTACCAAGAGTACTCACACACCTGCTCCTGACTCACAAACAGTATCACACCTACTCACACAGCCAATGCCCCTGTGTGCTTCCCACGCCTGCAGACTGGCCTGGCCCCCACCAAATGCGACAGGTGCAGTATGGCCAGCAGAGTCATCCATGCCAAGGACTCCTGTGGTCTCAGGGACCCAGGCCTGGCATCCACCCATGGAGGCCGCACCAGGCTCACGCAAAAGTCCTGGGGTAACCACGTCTTGTGCCAGAGGGAGGACCTGAAATTGTGGCCGTGTCCCCGGTCCCTGTATCTCTTGCCTGGTACAGGCTTCCCACCTAGAGCAGAGCCCTAGGAAGGGACCAAGTCACTGCCACTCACCTTCCGCTGGGCTCAGCCGCCATCCAGCAACCCATACGCCTGCCCCTCTGTGCTGGCATCGTTGAACTGAGCCACAGTGAACTCCATCGATCTCACAAAGCACTCCAGGTCCTTGTTGACATCCACAAACTCCAAAATGGGCACATGTAGGCGCCCAGCACCATGAGCCCCACAAACAGGGCAGTCTTGTGCAGCATGGCTGTCCTCAGCATCAGTGCCAGAGGTCAAGCTTGGGGACACATCCTGGTCACTTGTGGATCCCCTCATGGAGATCCAAGCTGACAACCACCTTCCTTCGGCAGGTCCTCTATCTGGTCCACTTCCCCACTGACCCCACCTCACCAGGCCCTCCTGAGAACACCAAACAGAAACTGAGCAGGAGGTTTATGGGTTCCCCACGGTCACTCAAGCCTGGGTCCCAGGGAGTGCACACACTGCCACCCGAGGCCTGCCCATCTCCAGGCCTGTGCTCTGCTGGAGGATTTCCAGCACGGTCCTGTCTGGTGCTCTAGTCCTCTGGGGGCTGAGGGGTGGCCTGCAGCCACCTTGCAGAGAGGAAGCTTCTGGGAACACAGATAACCCAGTTCCCCCACCTCAGGAGTTGAAGGAAGCCTACCCAGGACTTTGGGGGCAGCTCCCATGCACCGCTGTGCCCAGCACAGCACTGGGTGTGCAGCCGGTGGCGGGGGAGGGGACTAAGGCAGGCCAGCTGTCCACTGCTCTGATCTCCTTCTCCCACAAGGTGCACCTGCATTCTGGCACTGCCAGTTTTCTGCTAGGACAACCTTCCCCCACTCCTAAACCTCCACGTGGTCCTGGGCAGCTTTTCTGGAGTTATGACCATGTGTTGCTCCCTTCCAAACATGCTTGGCTTTCTCATGACCTTTATTCACTTCTCATTCCAGTCCACTGCAGCCTGGGAGCGGCCCTCACAGCAGTTCCCTTCTGTGGACCTTGTGCTGAGTCCCCTTGCTGTGTGGCATGGAACCAGCATCCTACAGGGACTGCCTAGTGTTATCTCAGCAAGCTCCTTTTCTCTCAAGCCTTCTGCATGTTTACTCCTGGTTTCAATGTACTGTGTTTGAGTAGATTTGATTGTGTTTTGAGAGTGGGATTTGCTCTTTCTTTCCCCCCTTCCA